TTAAGCACATATGTGTTTTGATTAACATCCCATCTGCCTGAACCTTCCCTTTGTTTGCATTTACACCTGATAGGTTTTTTTTTTCATCCTCAGCCACAGCAATACCCTATCCTAACAAAGGCAGTGGATAACTCTCGTCAGGCAAGGATGAAGCGTCCTTTTTATCTTGCGTGCAACCCTGCTTAGCCAGTCACTGGTTCCATCAGCACACCGATGCCTCATACTCACCGAATGTCATCCAAACTGACGCTATTTCTGGAACAATATGTACAAGGAGTTAGTGGATGTCCACCGCTGCTACCTACACACCATGCTCATAGTTTAGATTTTTTTTTCTTTCTCATAATTAAAAGCTTAGAATTAAAAGCTAAAAAGTTGCAGTTCACTTGTGGGTGTCAGATCATCGGCCCAGTGAAGGGATCTTTAAATAATAAAGCCAGGAGTCCCTGCTGAAACTTCAAACTCTGCTGTAAAACTTTCTGTGTTTTTTTTGTGAGCTACTTTTCTCCACTTATCTTTATTTATCCATTGGATTGATCATAGACCGAAAAAACTGAATTCACCTGCCGCCATCTTGGTACTCCCCACTTTCAAGGAGTGTGCGCCATAAAAATGCCTGTAATGCAACGTAATTACCAGAACAATGTAATCAATACATGTATATTACATGTAAATCATCAATTTAGCACTTTTGGCACATCAGCGTCAGATATTAATATTCTTAAAAATCTGACTACAGTATTATATTATTATTCTCCATTAACGCACAAATTTTGTTGTGATGGATCAATATAATATGTTGTATTAGATTCATACTGAATATTCACTGCGATGTGCATATTATTTATCTTAAATTACAGTAATCTACTGATGCTATGAAACAGCAAGTGTGTGTAAAAGTGACGACTTTATCTTTATTTTAAAAGACCTCAAGTCCCCCTGAAAATAGGAACATCATTGTTGTTCGATGCCGTTTCGCACGTATTGTTTACATTCCAGCCGGTCTAACTAGGGAGGACCAATATGGCGGCTGGTGACTTCACAGCATCCTGTACTACCAACGGCCAATCAGCAATGCGTTGTATAAATAGAGATCAGTGCTTTCCTCCCTCTACAAGCTAATCAGCTATAGTTTAAAATCTAAAGACTAGTAGGGATTTGTATCTGCACACCTTGTACCATTGACTGTTCACATTATTGTTCATCTGTTTCCCTGACAACCGGGACATTTTCACTCCTCATAATGATGCTAATTGAAAGAGAAACTGTGCAAGGTGCTGCAGCTCCAAGTTCTACTGTTCTGTGACTTTGGTGGCTTCTCCTAGATAGCCGTCTGCATCTCAGAGATCAGCTCAAACACTTTTCATTAAGAAAGTAACTCTGCCAAATATCCGTCTGATTAACTGTAATGATGATGTAACATTTAACAAGCACAGTTAGAATCAGGTATCAAAACCTGGACTTGAAACTTTAGCGATGGGCTTTGCATAGGCCAGGGGTCGGCAACCCACGGCTCTTTAGCGTTCCCCTTGCGGCTCCCTGGAGCTTTTTCAAAAATGTCTGAAAATTGAGGTTTTTTTTTTTTCTGTTTTAATATGGTGTGCAGGAGGTCAAACAAAAAATAATTATGCTTTCCAATGCTGTAAACATTTGTATAATAAATATATTTAAACAATAATTTGCGTCATAGCCATAGAGATCAGTGGTCATAACTTGCAACCAGCGCTGCGCGGTAGCAGGCTGCTGGAGTGTCTCCATGGATCCCAAAGGGGAAAAAAGGAAGATAGCTGATGAGAAAAGAGGATTCAAAGGAATCATTTTCTTTCATTATCAATGATTGCCTGCATTTTTGCTTTGTACTGAGAGGTTGGCTAAAAATAAAAATAAAAATTTGGAAAGGCATTTCCAGGGAAGGCAAGCTAAAAGGTGGGAGGGAGAGAAAAAGTGTGTTTGCAGAACTTCTGGATAAATTAGAGGAGAGCAAATGTAGATTTAAGAAGTTTGCATCTCCAAACTCCACTACTGCTGCTAGTTTGGTTGCAAGGATGGAAAAGCGTCCACAGATCAAACAGGTAGCGCTCTGATGCAGGGATGGGAACTTTCTTCCATTTTTTCCCCAAATCCTAAAAATATAAATCCCACCAAGGAGCGCTGGGATGTGGGATTTCAGGGTTAGAGATCTCTGCTCTGATGGGTGTCACTTCCTGCTTGGTTCCTCATGACTCAATCAGCTCCTCCTAACAGAAACACGTCCTCCATACAAAGATTCCTTTATTGTGTTTCTATAATTTCATCAATGCAACAAAACTTAAACCGTGCGTTTAAGGGCGGTTAAGCGGCGCGCGGTGACGCAGCTCGATGGGAGCGTTCACTGCTCCTCCCTCACCTCATGCTGCTATGTGACATTTGCTCGAGGATGAAGATTTAATCATGAATGC